AGTACTTGAAAGTGTACGGAAAGTATCATAGGTATTGTGGGAAATTGAACTAGCTGAGCATTGACTAATTTTGGATTTATTTGATCTTCCTTAAAAGTAGTGACACTTGAATGATGTACATGGGCATGACAAATTTAAAAATGGAATGCCAATGTATGAAAAATATTAAACTATATTTTGGGATACATTCAACAATCCTGTTTCAAATGAATTTACTGAAATGTATTGTCTCGTTCCTCTCAAACAGAAAACTCATGACAAAAGTCAATGATCGTTGCTCAGCCAAGTACGATGTTCATTTAGGAGCTGCACAAAGATCGGTTCTGGCACCACTACCCTCCACTGTATCTATTAATTACTTGGAACTATCAGGTCATAAACTACAAAACGTAGATGAGAAATCTGTAGTTATTAACGCTGCAACACCTCATCAACTAATATCTGCAGTGGACAGCGAGTCAAATGAGATGAATGCGTGGTGTCAGAAAAACCGTCTTATACTGAATCACAATAAAACAGTATAGATTTTCTCGGATAAGGCCATTATTCGTGGTACGCATATAGATGCAAGGTTAACTTGATTGGGACATATAAATCACATTTCCAAAAAAATCAATTATATCATATTTTGCGATATTGAAACTGAAACATAATGTCACAACTTCGACACCTTTAACTATGTACTCTATCCCTAGTATATCCACATACTAGTAGCAACACAATGTTATGGGGACAAGCAAGTATGATAAACAGAGTGATCTTTAACCAAACTCGTGTAAAGAAACTTTTAAAAAGTACAATTTGCTTACAGTAACATCCATATACAGATTCAAGTGTGCTCTTTTTGCATTTATGCCTAGAAACACAAATAAATATCCATTGCCGCACAAGGAATACATTTGATTTATGTGTTCCATATCATACCACTATTCTATTTGAAAAAACGCCCCTCTTTATGAGATCAACCAGTACCTATCATTTAAGGAAATAACTGCGAAAATGTTGTTGACAGGTGCCCATATACCCTAAATGGATATTATTCAATGTAATGTCACCAAAGCGTAATTTCTGTTTTGTTAATTATTGTTACGTGGGTATAGCTTCTATTTATTTAATTTCGCCACATTGTTTTAAATCTCATGGAATGTATATATCTTATGGACTCGTGAATTTTAACGCATGCTTTTTAAATAGATGTGCATATCTTTGATTTTAGTTTCATGTGTGCATGTATGTGCAGGAAATACATGCTGAAGTAATTACTGTATGGCTTGTGACTTTGACTTATAACATATCTTGCGCACACATGATCTGTGGACAAATGAAATATATGTCTATCTATCTATCTATCCACCGAAGAAGATTTCTGCATCATGTGTCAATTGAAGCATAGCAATCGTATATCTATACCTTTTTCAAGATTATTCAGATAATTTAATGGTTATATGCATGTATTGCCAACACCAGTAGTTGATGTGAAATTTGTAGAAAAATCTTACCACTGTAATGCTTCTATATTAACACCTACAAGCTACCAGTGGAAAATGTTGATAATTATATGCTTCAACTTGTGCTTCGTCTTTTGCCAGAGGGACAAGTCATTACTGAGACGATTTCAAGAGAAAAACTAGAAGCAAAAATAAGGAATACATAGGCACTTAATGCCAATTATCTACCTTCAGACAAATCGGTTGAAATTAACTATCAAACAAAACATAATAAAGGTAATAAAACATTGTAATAAGAGAAGTAGTAAAGTGCTTTGTCAGAGCATACGTCCACATCCAGTGTATTTGAAACCCTATTCATTCCTTGCGAAAACAGCATTGTAATAGTCCATTGAGTTGCGAAGCTGCGGTAAGACGAGCTTTTTGCCGCATCGATTTACGCTTCCATCTTTTCTTAAGTATAGGCGGATAGCTTTCCGTGGTGTACGGTTTATTTTTAAGACGGACATAAAATGCACTGCCGCAGTGGCTTCATTCTCCCATTACTGACTCCAAATGATCGTATTTATGACAGTGGATGCTGTATAATTTCGCCTCGTCTGCTATACTGTTCCGCAAAACCACAATTCGCTGAGAGGCCAAGAGCAGGGAAGGACAAAAGTTACGAAGGGACTAAAAGTAATTGCACCTTTGACTACTATTCTCAATAAAAGCTTTGAGTAACCCATATTTCTGAAAGGAAGAAACATTTCATAAAAGACTACCCCACGGCTGAGGTGAAACATTTGTGCCGTAATAAGGGTAGTGGCAGTAGATCGACCCTGTACTTTCCGCGTAATAATAATAATAATGTTGATGTGTCTTTATTTTTGGGTTGAATGTACAAACAAAAAAAAACTCATTCGATGAGGGAGGCGGCATTCAACACCGTTGCTCTTCCATGCAACCCCCGTAAATAATCCTATTCTATAAGGATAACCTAACGATTAAAGATTAATAATACAACAGTAAAAATGAAAATATTGTAGTCTTTTCACATGGAATTCGGCTCTATTTCGGAAGCTGCTAAGTGAGAGTGACTTTTTTACTATATCTGGCATTGAGTTGTACATTTTTAAACTGTTCAGTACTATGGAACGGAACATTATAGAGATTACAAGTAACAGTTTGCTAATCATGAAGATCCCATCTCCTAACAAGTTTGCTATAGAGGTAAAGTGGTAACTTGGTTTTGTTAATATTGTGAGTTAAGCAAGCAAGATGTATCAAAAAGGGCTCATGCATATTGAATCAGCCACAGGCTCGAAATTCATCACTAAGGTGGTCATATTTTTTCAAACCGCACGAAAGTTTAATACATCAGTTCTTATTTCTTTGGATAGAAGGTTTGTCTCTATCAGTGAGAGCAGGCCAGTATACAATGTCAGCATACGATGAAGAAGGCAAGATCAATGAATTGCATAGACTTAGCCTGACTTCAGTAGAGGGAACAGTGAAGGTAAAAAGTCCTTAATTTAGCATGAGCTTTTTGTAAGAGGTGCTTAACGTGGGGTGCAAATTTAAGAGTGTTATTCGTATATAGTCCCATATTTTTACATTGGTTGGGTGCTTGTAATACAGTGTTATTAATGCAGATTCTAAAATTCTGGTTGTCAGTAGCCTCACACGGTCTTGGTCCAAAAATAATAATATCAGTTTTATTTTCATTTAGTACAAGGATGTGGGTTTGTACATATCTAGATAAATACTCAAGATCAGAATCAATAAGCATGCAGGCAACATAAGCATCATCAAGTTTGAAAGAGTAATACAGTTGTGTATCATCAGCATATTGATGGGTACTGCAAAATTCCAACTGACTTTTCAAATCTGACGTATACAGTAAAAACAACAAAGGTCCTAAAATACTACCACGTGGCACACCTCGGGTTATACTATGAAACTGAGACACGTGCCCATTAAATTCAGTGCACTGTGATCTGCCTGACAGGAAGCTATTGAAGAAATCTATCGCCAAATTGCTTAGTCCCAGAGATTTAAGTTTCGAACATAAGACTGGATGATCTATTGTATCAAAAGCTTCAATGAAATCGAGCAAAATCAAACATCTATACATCTCATTGTCAGGTGCTCTGAATAAGTCATCTGTAACGGTTGCAAGTGCAAAATTTGAGCGATTTTTATTTCTTAGTTTTCGGCCTGTAGGTCTGCCACCACTGGACCGATTTTTAAAAGTACAAAGCATTCTCATCCTTCGAATTAGTAGTGGAAATTTCACAAAAATTCGAGTAATACTTTACAAGTTTTTGACTGGCCAAAGATTAGCGGAGACACAGACAGACAGCATATCGACTTTTTTATACTCTAACTACCACGAAGGCCTAAGGCCTAAACACCCATTGGGTACCGTGGGGATATAGAGGATACAGGGGAAAGGGGGAACGCCACGCGGGCTCTGGCTAGGGAACACATTCTGGCTCCGCCTACGAGATCCGCCGGGTGGTACCTCCGCGTTCAACGGTCAGAGACCATCTACCACCTACGGACAATCGCAACATCCATAGCCAAGAGAAAAATTTCTCCTGCGACGGGATTCGAACCCGCACAGCGCACGGCAACTCATCAGGAGACCGAAGAGTCTACTACTGTGGCCACCGCTGCTGCCTAAAGACTGATAGATGGGCATACCTAAGGAAATGAGTGGCATGGTCTTTCGTGATATAGATGTCATATAACATCCAAAAAACAAAATTTGTCGCTATCACAATACCTCCATGTGGGTGGCGTGGGAAATCGAACACCTACGATGGACTTCGTATGTAGTGTATAACAACCTGAAGATATGCACTATTTTTCACACCCTAAATGATTAGTGAACTACGAGGCATAGCATCTTATTGTCTTTTGTTGACACTAGTCAAATTGTATTCAATTAAATTACAATGGCTGTCGAAGAGTGGCTTCGACACGGCTTTCTCTTGTCTCTTTGAAAGATATATTTATACATCAGACGCATAGCTATGGTACCAGCAGCTATGTACATTCAAAGTGAGTCTAAAATTGTCATTTGCGTCACAAGGTGAGTTTTGTTTTGAAAATCGCAGTTTAAGAAGCAAGTACGTCTTTAATGGAACGGTTTATCGAAAGAAATCGCAGTGGTGTTACTCACTCAAAATTAATACTACTTAACGACCCACGCCTGCAGGGGAGGAAGTATTGTAATCGCGAAAAATTTCGAAAATGAGAGATGTTTTTTGGATATTAAAATGATATGTACATCTGGAAAAAACGTGTCACTCATTTCTTTATTTGGCCCGTCTATAACTTGGAAAGCTGTGAATGAAATCTTCACACAAGGTTACTAGTATACCAAGGACGAGAAACCTGTAGTTTACGAAAATCGATCCAGAAGCGGCAAAAAACGAAAAAAAAAACAGAAGACGCACCAGCTTTGCCTTTTCAGAGGTTTCTGATCATTTTCGGATAAAAAAATTGTTTGCGTCAAACTCGGGAGTTAGGAAGGAGGTTCTTAATTTTTTGTTTTAAATGACTTTATTGTTTTTCGAAGTATTCTGCACGAAGATCTCCACACATCTGCATGCGCTCGAACCAATTTTCGAAGCACTTATTCCACTCGTTTGCTGGCAGATAGAAAAGGGCATTTTGGAATGCGTCAACTGCTTTTTCTGGTGACTGGAATCTTTGACCACGCAGTCTGTTTTTAATTTTCGCGAAAGTAAAGAAATCGTTGGGACTTAGATCGGGACTATATGGGGGATGGTCCAATAATTCCACGTTTTCTTTCGTTAAATACTGCCTTGTTTTTTGGGATGTGTGCCAGCTTCTCTTGGTGGAGGATGATTCTTCTTTCGAGGTTGATTTTCCGGAGCTCGGTGATGACTTTTGGCAAACAAATGGTGGTATACCAATCCGCAGTAACAGTTCTTTGCTCATTAAGAGGAATTGTTGCAATATGACCCGCTTTTGACACAAAGGTCGCGACAATATTTTTCGAAACACTTCCAGAACATGACTTTTGTTGGCTTTTCTTCACCTTGGAACACCCAAACAGCCGACTGTCGTTTATTTTCTGGTTCATAACAGTAAATCCACGATTCATCACCACTAACAATGCTGTACACATTTTTTGAGTTTCCGGAATTGAAACGGTCAAGCGTGTTTTGACACCAATTAACCCTGGCAGCTTTCTGCTCTTCAGTCAACAGGTGGGGTATCCAACGAGAAACTGATTTTCTTACTCCTAATTCTTAATGTAAATTTTTTTGAATTGAGGTCTTTGAGATCTTCAAGGACGCCTCAATCTCGCGATATGTCACATGTCTATCTTCAATCATGAGTTTGCACACAGCATCGACGTTTTCCTGGGTGACTGCCGTTTTTGGTGCACCCACCCACCCTGGGATCGTCGCTAAGACCCACCCGTCCACGTTTGAATTCTTCATACCAACGGGAAATTGTCGACTGATGTGGCGCTTCGTTGCCGAAAACAGACAGTAACTCAGCAAGGCATTCTTGTTGCGATAATTGTCTCTGAAAGTTGTAATAAATTATGGCGCTAAAATGTTCTCGGTTGAGTTCCATTCTTCTAATGACTTGGTGACACTTAAAAATTCACTGTAGTGGGAACACTTGTTGTGAAACTTTGAATTTAAGTTTACTAAAGAGTGAGGTTAAGATTCAGTACTGACGTTCGATCCGCGCGGCCTACTATATTTCTATATGCAAAACTTAAAAGACATCCCTCGTATTTGCCAGTACATATACCCTCGTAAATGCACTCCTAGCACGTCATAGACGGCACTCGCTTCAAACTATGCCGCTGTCTCCTGTAGAAGTCAATCTCGTCGTCGACGTGGGATTGGTCATAGCAACGATCATGTCCACCAGAAGGGATTTGTCCCAGGAGGAAGAGAGGGATCAATCATCTGCAAGGGGTAACTTTGAATGAAGGCGTACTTGCTTCCAAAATGGGGGCTAGCATACTGTCTCAGAAGTTAACGATGAATTCTAAAAACAAGCTCTAGAAATACAGGGTGGTGAATTTTTTAACAATAAGCTGAACTTTTACAGATACGCAATTAGAATTATCCACAATAATTATATTTCGGCCGCCAACAACCCCCACGTCTGGGCTAAAATTGTTGAAAATTACTTAAATGGACGCACTTCCCTATCAGAAAGGCAGAATGACCATAATTATTACCAGTTTCTAGAAGAAGATTTGCCCGTATTGCTAGAAGGAGTCTTATTATAACCAGAACTATAGTATTGCAGCAAGAGAATATTTGAATCACAAATTCAATAACCGCTGTGTGACGGACCCCAACTATAGCGTTCTAGATCCTCAGATTTAAATAGTTTGGACTTTTTTGTGGGGACATCTTAGAGTGTGTAATGTGCATAAGTGAAGTTATTTAAAAAAAACATCCTAACAAAGTCATTTACATTCTGTGGTTGCGATCACTGATTGGTCATATAAAATTTAGATACTCATGGAATATTTTCAAAATCCTTGATTTAAGCAAGTGAAGATCGAATTAACATAGTTCTAAATAGTATTACTAAAAGTTAATGGCAGACCACTAACTCTTATTAAAATTGAAATATGTATTCATTTAAGAGCAGATTTGATTTGTTGATTTTTTTTGTCCGATGCCCAGCTTTGACGTGAGAAAATAAAAACTACTTCTATACCTAGAGATATCATCGTATTAACGATGTTGTTATGATCATGCAGAAAAACAGTCTCTTCAAGCCAAAACCGTATATCGGGTTGAAAAAAAAAATGTTTCGAATTTGCTTAAAATGAATAGGGATTTCAAGAGTAATTTTTATTTTAAGAGTAATCAAGAGTATTATCTGCTAAAATAGTCAAGTGAAATTCTGAACGAAAGTATCTGATGGAAATTAAAAAATGTAGTATATTAAAGAATACCCATTGATACCAAATTTCAATGATATATCTGTAGCGACATTACAGGTATCAATAATAAATGACTTATGTTTGAAAGCTTTACACAGGCAGGGTCTCTCAAGAGTTAAGACGATTATTGCATAGCTTATTCTTCTCTGAATAGATAAAAAATCGCCCCTTAAGTACTAATATTCAATTTGGAAATTCAAGTACATTTGTCCTTTCCTATCGACCTATCTTCTAGTCTATTACTATCCTTGAAACGCCTGTCGGTCTCTCTGTGTGTCGGCCTGTGGTATACTTAGAATTATTTAATACTGCTCAGTATTGAAAATTAATCCAAAATGTAATTTAAACATCATATTCATTCACAATAACTCTGGATAGTCCCAATCCGATAAACTTCTCAGCTTCGTATATTTTCCCTGTAGGTAGTACAAATCTGAGATCTAAGATTACAACAGAAGCTTGAGGAAACTCATCTTAACGATACGAATATCCGGGTTCTTAAAGATAAAATATAGATTTCATTTCGCGAGTTCTCTTCAGGAAAGCAAAATTATGGTTTATTTCATCCTGCAGTGGAATGTCATGGGGTCTTTATGATGGGTCTTTAGTTTTTTCCATATAAGGAGAATGTGCTCCTTATATTAAATATTTCCGGCTGTCCTTTCATCATATACTTACTGGTATGAATGACTTATCAAAGAAATTTCAATAATTTTCTATGAGACTATAGGGTGAGCTTCGAAGGTCACACATATATGTACCTTACGCAAAAATAATTATTTTTTGCAGACACATTTTTAAGACACATACGACATTGCAAGTGATGAAGATATTTGCGATAAATTACAATTTTGCATGATGCTTTAGTCAAAGTCAAAACACCCTAAGTATTGATATATTGGGGTTGCCTTAAGTTATACCTTAAAACTCAGGGAAGCTGAATAGACTTGATAGATTTCTGGTGGAATACATATAAATATTGCATTAAACATTTACTCGTATATACAGGGTGACTTCGAAGTTGAGTCATTTATTTTAACAGTGAGTAGATCTGATCAAAAGAAATGTTTTTTTCCTTTACCATTTTTCTGGTAAAATTAAAGTAACAAAGTTATAGCCCTTTGGAAGTTTGAGTACCGCCCTGTCTCATTGTGCTCGTGTTTGGCGACAACGGATATAATCCGTCGTATCGGTTCATCGCATCGGAAACAAAAAAGCGAAAGAATTTGGAACGAATTATTTCATTCATTTGTATACAGTCAGTGTCAGTGAATAGTTGTATCTGTTGCGTGGCTCAAACGAAATAAAAAATGGCACATGTTTATGCGGATCGGTTTCCCAATCGAGTGCAACCAACCCCTCGTGCCTTTGTTAATGTAGTACAACGGGCTCGTGAATCAGGTGACTTAAGACCTCACAGGGGACCTCACGATCAAATACAGGTCCGCACTGAAATACTTGTCGGGAGGATACTTTATAAAACAAGATAAAATTTTTTTTTTTATTTTTTTTTATTTTTACACACATATTTTGGTTTATATTCCTTCTACAATCATTATCTGAAAATTAATGACTCAACTTCAAAGTCATATATGTTATATACTTGATTTTTATTTTTTTATTTTTCTTCATGTTAATGGCTAACTAGGCTTATAAAATACCAAGTGATAGATGGACTTCCTTGAAATGAACAGAATGGTTAATGTAAACTTATGTATGTATTTTACGGATTTGTTGATGAGCCCATTTCTTCTATTGCTTTTTCCAAATCCTCTTAAATTACTTGAGTGATTTAAATGAAACTCGTTGAGTCGATGGGATTCAATCTGCACCGGTTATATCCAACTGAGATATCCCACAGGTAGTATCCATAAGCGGGATTTGTGGCCCCGAAAATAACTTGAATTTTTCAATCACGAAACAACAATCTTAAATGAACAATAAATCCATACTTGTGGACCAGAATTGTATACCTTTGTCAAATGACTGTTGCATCGTTGAATAAGGTATAGTTTCTGGACTGACTTTCACAGTTAGAAGCAGTTCAAGTTTCATTGACATTTTAGTTGCTTGGGAAGCAATCATTTACTCGCAAATTAAAATGAGACCCTCCAGAGCATGCTCCGATTTCTGCTGATAAAATTCATTCCCACAGGAGGAACTTTTCAATTATCCAGGTTGGCCTGTGCCTGCCGCCGCATTCATTCCCATTTTCAGCAGTCATAATAGGTGGAACCCGTAAGCCCCTGGTGACAAATAAATCTTCGAGCAAGGTCCTTTCCGAAGTCTATGAACTACAAATGGCAGGCTCACTCCGCAGCCAAACCAGTTCACCACTACGTCAGCCTGATCCAGTAAAATGGGTGATCCGTTCACATTTATTTCTGAAAATGAACAGGCTTTCAATTCAGTGTTTAAATACCGAATCACTGCTCTTTCTTGCTGCTATTGATTTTGATGCAGCAATTTTGACGATGTACCGTTTGTGAGTCCAGTGTTTGCTATAGGTGACCTATAACGTCTGAGATCACTATCCTATATGGGTTTCATCTTATGGGAATTGGAATAATTAGACCTTGTTTCCGTGTGTTTGGAAAATAGCCTTTTTCCAAACAGTCGTTAAGGATGTGACTGATGTGATGGAGAATAACTGGAAGGAAAAGCTGGATCATTAACAGGTATATACCATCAATTCCCTTCGCATGAGATTTTAGGTTCCTTATTGTCTGTAATACGTCATTTGAACTAATCTTGTATAAGGAAAAAATATATTCATAATTTAGGGCCGATTTCACCAACATTAATATTATGGACCAACGGGAAAATACCTTATCGAAATGCAATTTGACGGAAGCTGTCAAAGGTCTCTGAATATCAGTGACTTCTATTGAAATATTGAATAAAATCGTGAAAATTCGACTGTATTATAAACAAGACCACTTTTTGATTCCAACATGATGCTTTTGAACAGAAAAAACAGGACAACTTTCATGTATTTTGATATATGTTACAGGTTTACATTTAACAATCCGTTATCCCCCTCAGCGAATGGGAATGCGGCAAGCAATAGGTCGATTTTCTAGCTGTTAAATTTGGCAGCAGATTTGGACGTTTGTTAATGCATGGCACTCTCGAATTTACCAACTTCAATATACTGAAAGTTAGTAGAATATAAAATACATTCCATCCAGCTCCTCATCTTCCTTTACGTCATTTATTAATTTATGGGTTAATGAATTTCTTCAAATCAATAAAAACATTATGTCCTCTCCATCCTAAAACACAGACAATATGTGTAAGACGTGTCAATCCCCTCATCTCCCTGATGCATAGTGCAATTACTATGGACGTAGACAAGAAATTATAAGAAATGATTAATAGATAATGGCTTTTAAGTCCAAAAATCAAAAAATAGTAATGTTTATTGTCTATTTTTCTTTTTAGACTGGCGGGGATATCTATCTGACACTCGCATTTACTAGGTATCATGATTATAAGCATCTTTGGTAGATTGTTCGATCCGGAATGGGAAAGATCTCCTATTTATGAAAATATTTTTGGTATCATCTAATGGTTGCAATCAGTGCACAAACACTGTGACATATGATTTATAGCATAACCCGCTGCCATATCAATACAAATTTAACATACAGGTCGCCTAGCCGTGGG